TTTTCAATTTCTCCCGTTTCAATACGTTGTCCACGAAGTTTTATTTGATAATCTGCTCTTCCAACAAAACGTAATAGACCGTTTGAATCCATTTTAACGAGATCTCCCGTTTTATAACATTTTTTATTTGTTAATTTTGGAAGATCAATTAGAACTCGTTCTGTTAAATCAGATCGATTATAATAACCTGCGAAAACACCGCTTCCACCAATGTATAATTCACCAATTTGATTTCCATAAACAGGTTGTAAGTATTCATCGAGTATGTAACATTCATAATTTGATAATGAACGACCAATTGGTATAGATTCAGTTTTATCATTTAAATCTTTCAGTGTAATACGATGACAGGTTGACACGAGTGTACATTCTGCAGGACCATACAAATTATAAATACTACATTGTTGTTGTGAAACGTTTGACATTAACTTTAATACAGTTTTAGAATTTGTTGATTCATCTAAAATGAGAATGAGAATCGATTATCTAATCATTTTTTCATTTTTATTTTTATTTTCTTACCTCCAGTGAAAACTGTACGTAGTGATTTTAAACAATCCTTGTTGTTACTTTCTTGCAAATATTCACATAATAGCATAATCAAAGATGACAAAAGAATAATCACGGTGCCCTGTTTTTCTTGAATAATATGCGATAAATAAGTCATGTCGAGATTACCATTTGGACGAAGCATAACAAGCGACGAACCAAGCATCATTGAGCCAAACATTTCTTCCACATGCATATCAAATGTACACGGTGTTACTTGAACAAAGGTATCCTTACTGTTCACAATATTCAATTGGGCTAATGATTGAATACACGAGACGAAATTTCTGTGACGAATTTGTACCTGTTGCAAACAAACAGTGATAAAATGTTAATAAAGAACTTGGCACTGGAAGGAGGAACTGCATGTACATAGGGTTCTCTTTATAATCATGAATAGTATTTTAAAGGACTAAATTTTCGACTTGTTGCGCAAAAGCTCAAGTGTGGATGACACTTTGTGGAAGAGGATTTTTTATCGTTAAAAAGTTGAGATATTGAGCAAACATCATGTACCTTTTATGGACGAGTAACACGAATGGTAGAAGGGGTAAAATAGTCCTTACACTTCTTTCTCTTCATATATATAATGTATACGTCATGCAGTTTCGAGATAAACTTCGTCAATGTATACATTAAACATGTCTAAAACTGAAACTCCGCCTCTTCCATTTGAAAATGACAAATAAAATGTAATATACAATCTTTTTTGTGAATGATAGGTGACAAAAACAGTATTTTTTGTAGTAAACAATTGACAGTTTGTCTATTCTTTAAGAAAAGCAAGTGAGACATGAGTCTGAACAGAAAACGGTCATAATACATACAGCTTTTGGTATGCCCGTTGAACCCGATGTAAATATCACATATGCAATGATTGTCGCTTGAACGTTTGATAATAAATTTAATTCCTTATCAGATATTTTTGGCTTCTCACAATTATCAGAATCACTGATCATAATTTGTTCTATATTCACAAAACTGATATGATCGTTGGTCGTCACGGTTTTATCAAATTTATTTTGGGTTAATGAATGCATTAAAACAAAATGCGTTTTTGTTTCATCAATTAATGAGCACAGACGATTAACCGGATCATTAGGACTAAGAGGACAATATGAACAGCCGCATGTCAAAATTGAAAGCATACCGATAACCATTTCAATTGAACGATCGACACATTGACAAACAATTTCTCCTTGTTTAATATTACATTTATCGATCAAATGAAATGATAATGTTTGTACAAGGTATAGTAGTTCGCCGTATGTAACACTTTGCTCATCTAATAAAACACCAACCTTTTGTGGATTTATTACTGCTCGCTGAATAAATTTATGATGTATGAATTTCATTTGTTCTTGGTGATCAAAATCCACATGACCATCATTTAATTCTTTCATGAGTTGAATCTCGCTCGGTAACATGATAGACAATTCATACACAGACTGTCGTCCGGTACCAAATGGTGACGTAGAAGAAAATAGGTTTGCTAATAGAGCTTGAAATCGGTCACATATTGTTTGTATTGTTGGCATTTTAAACACATCTGTAGAATATTCAAAAATGCATCTAATTGTTCGATCTGTTATATTATGATCCATAGTTAATGATAAATCAAACTTCGACACACTCTTACTAGTGGCCAAATAATCATCGTTCGTTAACTGATCTAGATTAATGTTATCTTCTAGATGTATACGTCTGCTGTTTTTGCTTGCAGTTGACTGAAACTGAAAAGTTGTTTGAATTAACTGTAACGATAATCCACTTGATTGTTCTTTCCCTTCATGACGATGTAGATCAATGATTTCTTGATATGGTAAATACGAATAATCTAATATACTTAAGCATAGTTGTTGTATTTGATGTAGGAGATTACTAAATGATAACGTTGGATCTAATGTAAAACGATACGGTAATAAATTAACAAACATTCCGATAAGTTCTTGCAACTCTGGTCGGTAACGATTCGATGATACACTACCAATACACAAATCTTTTTCACCATTTGTTAATTTAAATAAAAATA